AAAAAAAAAAAAAGAATAGAATAATGCTTGAAAATGTCAACTTTGATCCAGACTGCTTAAATTTAAATCTTAAGGCCCAGACCTATAGCAGTTTGCCTAGACTAGCCTTCAAAATCTTTTAGTGACTGGATAGTTTCTAAGTATGCTAAAACTGTTAAGAGTTTCTAGGTATATGTACTTTTTCCTGTTAGAAGATAGATTTTCTAAGAAAGTTTTAAGCAAGGTTTCGTACTCTTGGCTAATTTAAACAACTTAGATTAAAAACAGTCCTAATCGTCTTTCTTCTTTTTAAGTTCAGTAACTCTTAGGTTTTAATCTTTTGCATCTGTGTTTCAGTCCTAGAGAATTCCGTAAAACATTCCAAAGCCTTGAATACTCTTTCAAGTCCTGGTCAATCCAATTGTAGCCATGGCACTAGGAATAATTCCATGAAAGAAAACATGGAAAAGGAAAAGCCAGTCAAACGTAAAATGAAGTCCCCTGTACTCTCCAAGTCGTCTACTCTGTCAAAGTCATCAGCCGTCATTGAACAAGGTAAAGTTTTCTTCGTGTCTTTCATGTGCTTCTTACAAGTGATGTTATTGTTGGAGGTAGTATTTATAACCAACCACTTTTCAGGTTTCCCATTTATAAGTCACACGGTCTGTATTACTTGAAAAATGTAGTAGGACATGTAAATTTGCAGCTTTATGTTGAAAGCAAACTGTCTTGTTACTAAAAAGATAAGAAAAACTCACTATATGGAAATAACAGATTCTTGAATTAAAGGCTTTTAATATTGGAAAATAGTTTCTAACTTCATCATTTACAAAGTCTAAATTGGAAGTATATATCCTCAAAGTTTAAATTTAGTTGGGGTGTTAACCCAAAATAGCATTCTTTACTTCTCTAGAAAAATGTTTAAGTTGTTATTAGATCACAAAATATAACAACTCACTGACCTTTGTCAGGGTTACCTGCAGTCAGGCCTGTATTCTAGAATACAACTGTTGATCCCTTACAGTTAGTTATATTTCCAAGTTCTTTCAACTGTAGATTTTTGTTGTAAAGTCTTTATGGGTTGAAACTTGGCAAACGTAAAAAACCGTACTGTATGATACGTTAAAACAATCTTGACAGTAATTTTGTTTCATGACTTTGCAGTGTATCTAAGACATTTCCTTTTGTTTTCCCCAGAAACCAAATACAAAATTTTATTTCTCCATACTAAAATGTCCTTATTTCCGTTAATGGTATTAGGATATACCCACGTACGCATAAGCTTAAAATAGGGGAGTCTTCCTAGCCTTCTTTTCTTTTCTTTTTTTTTCTTTTTTTTTTTGAGACAGAGCCTCAAGCTGTTCCCCTGGGTAGAGTGCTGTGGCATCACAGCTCACAGCAACCTCCAACTCCTGGGCTCAAGCAAGTCTCCTGCCTCCGCCTCCCAAGTAGCTGGGACCACAGGTGCCCACCACAGCGCCAGGCCATTTTTTGGTTGCAGCCGTCATTGTTGTTTTTTGGCGGGTCCGGGCTGGGGATTCGAACCTGCCACCTTAGGTGTACGTGGCTGGCGCCTTAGCTGGTTGAGCTATAGGCGCCGAGCCTAGCCTTCTTTTCAACAGAATCTCTTCAGCAGTTGTTAGTGTCCTTTCTCTGTAACATCTCTTAAATCTCTCCTTTCTCACTTCCATGGCCTTAATTCAAGCCACTTACATAATTTCTTGCCTAGACTGTTGTGTAGTTTCCTAACTGATCTGCCTGCCTGCCTTTTCAATCCTTTCTTATCCGGTCTATCATCTCCTATATTGCAGCCACAGTGATCTTCCTGTTTCTAGTTCTTGTGCACTTGTGTATGTGCACACACATACACACAATTGAAAACCCTCCTTTCCTTCAAATTATGTGTGCAATCAGATTTAAAAATTTTTTTGGAAACCTAACATTCCAGGTTTCCTTCCTTCCTTTCTCCCCTTTCTATGTCAGCCATCCTAAACCACTTGGAAGTCCCTCAGTATCTTTGTGCTTTTCTTCCTTCTTCGAATGTCATTATCTCCTCCTGGCTTAGTGGTCTCCTGTGTTATCCTTCTTGTCTTACTTGAAGTATCATCTCTAGGAAGCCGCGGAACCAGGCTCTTCATTCTTTGTGTTCCCAGACTCCCTATTCATTACCTTTGTGATACTTAACAATAGTTATGGAATTATTCTTTTTCACAGATCTCTAGGCTCCTGTGTTCACTTTTTATCACTATTTATAATGGGTAATAAGTATGTGACTAAATAAATGACTTTGCAGATGACTGTTTTGCATTTTTTTATATCTGTCTCCTTTCTGAAGTGAATTTAAGGTTTTGAATAGTACATTGGCCTTGCTCTGTCACTCTAGAATCCTCGAAAAATCAAATGTACCTGGCAGATTGGTTCTAGCATTACAATAAAAGAGGTCTGGCCTCATAGCCAATTTGATTTATAGCGTTTGAGTATTACAAGTACTTAGGAGTTACCAATACAGTAGAAATATGATTATTAACTATTAAATAACTCATTAACTGTGACTTACTGTAAATGGTGACACCTGAATTAACTGTTAGAATCAAGAACAGTGCTATCCAATGGAAAAAAAAATCTTAGCCACATATGTAATTTCAAATTTTTTAGTCATCATCTCTAGTAAAAACAAATAGGGAAAATTAATTTTAAAAATATATTTTATTTACCCTATTATTTCTAAAATGTTAATTCAAAATATCAATATTTTTAATGTATAGTGCTTCAGTATTCAAATTGGAATTTAATTAAAAATTCTGTTTCACAGTTGTGTAACTCTGTTTCAACTGCTAAGTAGCCACTTGGTGAGTGGCTGCCTCATTGGACAACAGAAAGCCAGATCATTGGGTTTTTGAACTTTTATTTTTTAACTTCTAAATTCCTTTTTAAGAAAGCTACATAGTTCTACTTATTTTTTTAGTTTATGTATTGTTTTGTAAAGTCGATGAAACCTATATTCTTTCCCCAGAAAAATGCATATGGGCATATTCACACAAAATTTTGGAACATTTCAAAGAGTTCATGGCGTCCTTGAAGCCTATCTGTAGAACTTCGACAGTGGGTACTTCTGTTGGACATTTAGAACTCTGGTCGGTAGTTTTAATGTAAAATAAAAAAGAAATACACAGAATCCTCAGACAATTGAAGTACGATTGTTTGGTAGCAAATACGAAAGTCCTTGATGTGCATGGCTGTGTTTCTCCCTTCTCCACACCTCCCAAACACACATGGTTACAGAAAATCTAAAGATGAGACCACTAGTCTTTTGTACCATGGGGTTCAGGAAATGAGGGGTTTGTCTTGTCCCTCTGCTACTCTCTCCAGCCTTTGGTGAGTCTTTTGACTACTTTTTCCTTACTATTTACAAAGTACAGTTCAAACTCATAACTAAAAATTATGCCATTGTAAAGAAGTATTCTCTTTAAAAGCAGTTTTCCTCTCTGTATCAATTTCCTTAAAAATACTGCATTGCAAGTCATATGCTATAATCAGACCAAAAAAAGTCAGCCCTGTGCAGGACAGAGAGAGCACGTGGGAATGCAGCGCACACGGCGTCCGTTCTCTTCATCCAGAGGGGCCGTAGCAGCGTTTTCACTGCAGACTACGGTTCACGGCCTCCAGGATCTACAGACTTTATTTTTTTATAAAGCATAATGACCTTTATCATGGAGTTTGTTACAGTGTGATTTTAATCATGATAATGGTGGTATACAAAGTGGTTTTGATCAATATAGGCAATCAGTTTTATGATTATACATGAATAATTTATTTAGTTAAATAAGGAAATGGTACTGTTAAAAGGGCCTGTGAAGAAAAAAGTACCATCCTCTTTCAACAGTTCCAACGACAAAGTTCGTGATCCAGAGTAACTTTCTTCTACTCTCACAGCTAGGAGAAATGAGAAATGTTAAAGCCATGGTAGTGGTTTTTTTTTTTTTTTTTTTTTTTTTGGCGGGGGCTGGGTTTGAACCTACCACCTCCAGCATTATGGGCCAGCGCCTTACTCCTTTGAGCCACAGGCACCGCCCAAAGCCATGGTAGTTTTTACAGAGACTAACTGATACAAATTATTCCCCCAGATGTGCTCCCAAACCCTTTGCAGAATTAGTAGGGGTCATTCTTCATATTTCCAGGGAATCTAAGGAAATACTTAGATGCTCCTGAAGTCAGAGAAATTACTGTCATATTCAAAGGAGATTAGTAGGAGTTGGAATTATTTCATTCTAGTCTCTTATTCTTTCTTCCCTTGTTGATAGAATGATAGAGAAAAGCAGAGGGAATTAATATGCTTATTTGTTCAAACTACCAAGTTAAAAGGTCATGAATTTTAATATATTAAGATTATTTTCCATAATTAAGCTGCTTAAAGATAAGAATCCAAAAACACCTGTGTTGAATGAGTTTAAACAAGGCCCGGTGTGGTGACCCACGCCTGTAATCCTGGCTCTCTGGGAGACCGAGGGAGGTAGATTTTCTCAGTTCACAGGTTCCAGACCTCCCTGAGCCAGAGCAAGACCTTGTCTTAAAAAATAGCCAGGCGTTGTGGCAGGCGCCTGTAGTCCCAGCTACTCAGGAGGCTGAGGCAAGGAGATTGCTTTAAGAGTTTGAGGTTGCTGTGAGCTGTGACACAAGAACACTCTATCAAGGGCTACTAAGTGAGGGGGATAAAAAATGACTTAAGCAATAAAATGCTTTGTTATTATTAAACTCTGTACAAATAAATGTGGTCATTTTGTGTAATGAAGACAGTGCTGTCACCCATTAGAATGTTCAGTAAAGGTATTAGGAGTAGGAACCCTTTGAATTCCATGTTTTAAGTATACTGTTGTTCTCTTTTAGGAGATTGCAAGAACAATGCCCTTGTATCAGGAACTATTCAAGTAAATGGCCATGGAGGGCAGCCGGCAAAGCTTGGGAAGAGAGGACCTGGAAGGAAGCCTAAGGTAGAAGTTAATCCCAACAGTGGTGAAGTCATACACAAGAAAAGGGGTAGAAAGCCGAAAAAGCTGCAGTATGCAAAGCCAGAAAGTTCAGAGCAAAATAATATGCATCCCGTCAGAGAGGAAGTGGTTCCTTCTGCGACATGCAGTTTTCTTTCCGAAACTAACATTGTAAAGGAGGATTTGTCACAGAAGAAGAGTCGTGGAGGCAGAAAACCCAAAAGGAAGATGAAGACGCAAAAGCTAGATGCGGATCTTATAGTTGCTCCAAATGTCAAAGTGCTAAGGAGAAGTAACCGGAAAAAGACCGATGATCCTGTAGATGAGGAAGAAGAGTTTGAAGAACTCAAAGGCTCTGAACCCCACATGAGAACTAGAAACCAAGGTCGAAGGACGGCTTTCTATAACGAGGATGACTCTGAGGAGGAGCAAAGGCAGCTGCTGTTCGAAGACACCTCTTTGACTTTTGGAACTTCTAGCAGAGGACGAGTCCGAAAGTTGACTGAAAAAGCAAAAGCTAATTTAATTGGTTGGTAACTTGTACCAAAACATTTCACTTCAGAGTCTATTCAGCAGGTACAGTTAAGGAACAAGTAGAACTAAGCCTTCTGCTTCCTTGCTGCTATGGTGGATTAGGGAATGTTATCATTTGATTTGCAAAAAAACAAAAAACAAAAAAACCAAGACACTTCACTTCTTTAAAGGAATATATATATAAATATATACATATATATTTTAAATGTTTGCTATTTATTGCCCTTAGATAGGTTATGCATTTCCACATTCATTTCATTCACTGTTTGAAACAAAAGAAATTGAAGACCTATAATTAATTCTGATTTATTTATGGAAAGACAGTTCTGCTACACTCTAAAGAAGCGTGATATTCCTAGTGGTAGAGCATTTCATGTTAAAGTGAATTATTTTTGACCAAGGTACATTTTTATTGATAAAGAAGTTATGCCCCTAGGAAGACAGGCGTTACACTGAGTAGCAGTGAATTAAGAAGTGTGTTTCCTCTAAAGATAAAAGTAAAATTCCCTCCATTTGATACCCTAAAACATTTAATTTTAATTATAGACTATTCATCTAACAAAGTGTATAAAGGAGGCTTTTGCTTTATTCCATTTCTGCCAAACTTAAGAGAAAATGTACTGATGAAAAGGAAACATATCCACATTGGAAAACAGTTGACTGTCTAATTTTTCAGACCTTGATTCTTATATCAATCACTCAATCTCTGTTTATTGTGCCAAAGACTGAGCATCAGTGCAGTGGAAGGCTTGTGTTTGACTGTCAGGACAGCACATGCTTTCCAGTATTGGAAAGGCTGTATATTCTAAAGAGCGAGATATTTAAGAATTATGCTGAGATATATCTTTTTTGGTACTAATAGTAGAAAATAATGCACTGGTGGGTCCTTTGACAGAGATGTTTTAGAGAAAATGTTTAAGTGGTTAAAGGATTCAAGGAAAATACAGGAAAAATGGTATGGGACTTGATGTTTACTTGTTAATCTGGATTAATGTCATATCTAATAGGCTAAAATGACTTACAAAGAAACTTGTTTGTGTGTGTATGTGTATATATTGATAAATGGGTATAATTAAATATATATACAAACACATACTTATACTATTACCCAGGTATAAATTCTTTTTTCAGGATTTTTTAGATAGCAGTAGAATAAAAATGATTTTAAAATGTCATACTTTATAGTTTAATTTTAAGGGAAAGATTGGTTATTTTCAATTATTAAAGGTTAAAATAGGCCAAATCACTTTTTATGCAATCATGTTTTATACAGTGGTCTCATTGCACATGGTGTTTTTTCTGCACTTTTTACGGTATCCTTATCACGCTGGTATGTCAGTATACACCCTAAAGAAAAACTCCATTTAATGATTGTGCCTTGTATTCTATTATTTTTTGCATCATTAGTAAAATTAAGTTGTCTATTGTAAATGATAACTCTATGACTTAGGAGAATGTATTGCTATATGTACTGCTATGGAAAAGGAAAGCAGTTATTTATTTGTTTATGGTACAGTTATTTTATACCTTAAAAACCAACATAAATACCATTTCTATTGTTTAAAAATTATTGTCCATTTTTTTAAAAGGTTAAAGGATGTAGTATTTTCTGAGGACTGGTATGGTACAAAAATGTAACCAAAATTTTCAGATACTACATTTTTATAGTTAGGTTGGAGGAAATAATGTATCAGCATGACCCTAATGTAGAAAAATAAAGTCTTCAATTGAACCTTGGCAAAATATATTACATAATTACTTCTTATTTCTGATAAGGATAAATGTTAGCTGTCATTTAACTGTCTTGAAGAATGAAAAGTGATACATTTGGGCTTTTTAGATTGTTTGTAACTAAATTTGTATAGAAATTCTCCTGTGAAATTAAGTAAACCATTTTCCAGATCTTAACTGGATTGCTGTGATTTTGCAGTTGAAAAATAATTTCAGATTTTTCAGGTTTTTTTTGTATATTTATTTTTTTCTAACAAATATATTTAACTATATAATTAAAATTCAGTAGTTAAATTCTTCATAATGCAGAAATGGATGGCTTGGTTATATAGTAAAATGAGTCTTTCAATTACACCATTATTGAAAATAATAGTGTATATGTTTGAAATTTAAGTCATTAATTAGTTGCTTTTGAAGGCAATCTGTTTGAAATATGTAATTTCCTGGTGTTATCTGCATTGTGTTAGAAAAAATGATAGACTATAAAATCAATCTTTGTAAAAAAAAAAATGTACAGTTTAAAGATGTGTACAGAAGAAGGAAGAGCGTACACAGTCTCAGAATGGACCAGTGCAGTGTGTAGAGCAGTTCCAACTCTTGAGCAAACACACGAGTATTTACCGTCTTTCCCATAACAAGTAAATACTATTTCCTGTTCTAAAGACACTATGTATGACCTTATCTGGAATTAGACACTGGTTTCTTTGTAAAGCAAAATGACTTGGGTCAGATTCTTTATAATTGAGACACTTAACAGTGTATTAGTGATACCAGATATATTTAGACTTTATATTTTTATAATTTAGCTTCTACACTTTGCAGAAGTTGAATTAAGAAATAGAAGTCATTACCATATTTTTGTTTTGCTTTACCACTCGGAAAACACCCTCTTTGAGATAGTAATACCGTGTATGTACTATTTATAGGCCAAAAACAGATGTTGGCAGTTGTCTTAGGTGAGCAATAAAAAAAACCCTCAAATTCACTGAAAGCTTTAGAAATGCAACTTGTTACATGCATGGAAAATATAAATCAATTTATGTATAAGTACTTAACCTTAATATTCTCTCCCCTACTCCAACATTCTCAAGCCCCAGACAAATCTCATAAAATTTAAATGTTGCAGATGAACATTAAACAGTCTAGTCAGTCTCAGAATCCCGGGCAATAGATACATAGCTTCTTACAGTTCTGCCCTTGACCTGCTGCTGTGGCATTGACCTAGTCCCTGCATATGCAGGGCAGTTATGGCTACAGATTAGTTGGGCTGACTTTAGTTGTTTTTATTGCACAGCTCTACAGACTTAACACTATTTGGTGGCATTATTAGAAAGCTTTCTCCTTCCAGTAATTAGAATACCTAAATACAGTAGAACCTCCATGGTTGACCACTTCCCTACACTGACCACGTCATAGACCGGACCGTGCACCACAAGTACCTATTAGTATAGCAGGCCTCCTTCCTTACGTTGACCACCTCTGTATGCTGACCAGTTTGTTACAGTCCCTTGGGTGGTCAACACAGGTGCTGCTGTAGAGTATTCTGAGCTTGATGGGTCCCATCTGAGACATGGAACTGACTCAATTTAGTATCGCTTGGAAATAAATTATGTAAGATCCAGTGATCAGGAAGATAATCATTATGTGGCATGTATGTTAGAACTGTCCTTTATCTGCGGTGCAGAGTGATGAGACATTTAACAAATGTATTCAAATATTATTTTGTCTTGTTTGCTGTTCACAGCATTTGCATGTTTTCAAATATGATTCGTAATGTTGTTTCTTCAGTTATGTTTAATTCTGACATTCCGTTTTACATATACTTACATATACCTATATAGCTCTCCAAATGTCAGCTAGAAGCAGTTTTAATTTTCAGTTTTCTGACTAATGAAAACAAATTTATTCTTAATTTTTTGTTCACCTGAAATTTACTTTTGAGTAGGTTGAAAGGACCAAGATACTTGAGTGGCTGTAAGTGGAGAAGAGGATTCTAAAAATCATCATAACAGAGAAAGTGCTTTTGTCTTATGTGAATTACCCCCTTTTACCTAAAATGTATTCCTAACATACATACAAGGTTGAGCAGTCATTCAGTTATATTTAGGTGAGAATTTATTTCCCATTAAAATTGGAAAAATATACTTTATTTTCATCCATGCATTTCCTCTTAGTTTTCCAATTTCCAAGTGATTTGAGCTATATTTACTAAGAAACTGTTTTTATTCTTAATCATACTGAGCAAAGCACTCCAAATGGAAAGTCATTGTGAACTATGTACCCAGGAAAAGGTCAGCTTGAGTCAGAAGACTGTAAGTACCACTCTTTGGCGCTCCAGAGATCAATCGTGTACACACAGCAGTAAAACAATGAGTAGAAAATACGAACTATAAATATATATTATTTTTAGTTTTGATAGTTTTATGTTGAAATGCTTTTTTTAATGCAGATAAAATTTTCAGGAAATTAACCTTATATGGCACAAACCAAATAAATAATAGTGTGTGACTGAGTTTCTACATTCAAGGAGCTAAGAAAATAGGTTCAAAACGGTCTATAGCACACATACATGGAAGGCAAGTCCGTGCGTACATACTGGTTACTTTGAAGGTTGTGTGTATTGATTTGTCACAATATAGACTAAAAAGTGAGACAAAATAAAGAGTTACATTTTTGGACCATATTAAAACTGCAGGAAGACAGGGGTCTTATTGAGGATCTTTTAGAAAACTTAAATCCTGTCACGGTATATTTAGACATGTATAGAATGTAGCTCAGTTTTTAAGAAGTAACTGACCTAGAGGGTTAAAGTTGAAACTGACACCTTTTCAAATTAAAATTATGCTTATTTTGTACAGAAAACCATGTTTAAACACAAGCAGATCTGTTGTATGTAATGAGTAACAGAGTTGAAAACAAATTATTTAGCTTTATGGAAGTTTTTGTTTCTTTCCAGACCTGGAGTAATCATGTTATAAACCTCAGTCTCACACCAGAATCGCAGTGCCCTTTCTTTTTTGTACATATTGATTGGACCTTTCTTTACTGTTACGTGGACACTTTCTATGTTAGTTTTGATGCATAATTCTTTGAATCCTTTTATACAAACTTAGAATGTATGTGTAAGAATTCCTGTCCCTGCAATGTAGTAACTACAAACTTATTTTTAAATAAATAGAAAACTTGTTTTTCTAAGCTATTTTGTAGAGCCTCATGATTATTTGCATTTTTTTTTCTTTTAGGTAACACATCAGGCATATCATTTCAACAAACTGATTGTGTGCGAGAAGCCATTACCTAAATGGTTCATTAGGGTTTCCAGTGCTGTCTATTTAGCAAAATGTTGAAATCACTAGCCAATTAAAAGATTTCAGGTAACCAATGTAATT